GCCCTGAACGTGAGGTGGGTGAGAGGTGGGTGAATTTATTCTGTTTGATTTTCATTTTCTTAAGGAGATTATTAGGATTCCATATTGTCTGAGGTTATTTCTCATAGCAAAAAAAAAAGCTATGTTTGCTTTTTGCTATCCCATGCAGCAAGAGACTTGTGGATAATGAGACTGGAGGTGAAGGGGATCATTAAGACATACCTTAATCCAGCCCTTACACAGTCTTCTTCAGACTGGCTGGAGGGTTGGCAGAACATTATGTAAGAAGTTGGAACCGACTTTGCTTTTTCTAACACTTCCAAAGGCTACAAATATCCCATACAACTATTCAGGCCTGCACACTCAAGCCTGTGTTTCTGTCCTCCTTCTCCAAGAGATCAGAAGCAGGCTGTGGCCTCTTAGGAATTCTGCCAGATGGGGAGGGTGTCTGGTTTTTCTAGCACAGTTGAGCGATTCAGGTGGAAGAATGAAGTAGGCTGGGGAGGCTCTCGGGCCTGTATTAGAACCGAGGCAGCAGCAAGAGAGAACAGGCTGTTTGCTTCTTAGAATGCAGACGAGTGGGTGAGATGGCTGGCTTTTTCGTTGTTACTGCCAGCTGGAAGCTTTGCCCACAGATGTGGACTGTTTATCTGTGGGTTTGATGTGTTTGTTTTCTTTTTTTCCTAGGGCAGGGTTGAGGAGGTTGTAAGGCTGGGACAGAGAGGAAAGATCTGAAAATTTCAGTTGGTTAGTTAAATGGGAAAGCTAGCAGGGGAAGAAGAGACTCCCCTTAATTGCTCAGAATGTTGAAGTCATTTCTCAGAAGTATACCTCAACCCTAACTCCCAGTTTCTGTTGGTTACCCCACTCCTGAGTGCCTTATATAGTGCCTGGCAGGTATAATGGGTTAAGTTCATTGCCATGGAGATGCTTATATAATTTGCCAAGAGGGGGCAGGGGGCAATTGTGAGACAGCTATACATGAGCATTTCATGAGACTCCATAAGCAGAGCCAAGAATGCTGTGGAAACATGGAGGGGTCATTGGCTAGAGAAGGCTTTGTAGATTAGGCAGCAAATAGGATGTTACTTTAAAGATGGAAATGAAATAGCACGATTCAATGTGGAAGAGAGAGCAAAGGAGTGAAGAATTATTCTGTGAGCATGCACTCATCACCCTGTTCTCCAGGGTAGTTACTGTTCCATCTCGTAACCCCTGTCTCAAGCAGAGAGGATATGCAATTGTTCAGGTTTTTTTTGGGTTTTTTTTTTTGCATTTTCCCTCCTTTGTCTAGATTAATGAGGACAGAGGGGTAGGAGATGGTGGAACATACAATAGACTTTAGACTTAGCTTAGAATACCATGTGAGGATGGGAGCCAAGGATCAGTTCTTTTTTTTCTTAGCTTCACAAAATTTTAACCAACTTTCAGTCCAGTTCAGTTCAGTCGCTCAGTTGTGTCCAACTCTGCAACCCCATGAAGCGCAGCACGCCAGGCCTCCTTGTCCATCACCAACTCCCGGAGTCCACCCAAACCCATATCCATTGAGTCAGTGATGCCATCCACCATCTCATCCTCTGTCATCCCCTTCTCCTCCTGCCCCCAATCCCTCCCAGCCTCAGAGTCTTTTCCAAATGAGGTGGCCAAAGTATTGGAGTTTCAGCTTCAGCATCAGTCCTTCCAATGAGCACCCAGGACTGATTTCCTTTACAATGGACTGGTTGGATCTCCTTGCAGTCCAAGGGACTCTCAAGAGTCTTCTCCAGCACCACAGTTCAAAAGTGTCAATTCTTTGGCACTCAGCTTTCTTTATAGTCCAACTCTCACATCCGTACTGGGAAAAACATAGCCTTGACTAGATGGACCTTTGTGGCAAAGTAATGTCTCTGCTTTTTAATATGCTGTCTAAGTTGGCTATAACTTTCCTTCCAAGGAGTAAGCGTCTTTAAATTTCATGGCTACAGTCACCATCTGCAGTGATTTTGGAGCTCTCCAAAATAAAGTCTGCCACTGTTTCCACTATTTCCCCAACTATTTGCCATGAAGTGATGGGACCAGATGCCNATTTCTCATACCACACAGCTTATTTAAAATGTACAATTTAGTGAGTTTTTAGTTTATTCACAGAGACATATAAATGTAACTACAGTCTAATTTTAGAGCACTTTTACCACCCCAGAAAGAAAGTCTTCCCTATTTACAGTTATTCCCAATTCCTCTCATCCCCCCCCTTCTGCAGCTCCAGGAAACCCCTAATCTGCTTTCTGCTGCTATAATAAATTTGCTTGTTCTGTCCAGTTCATATAGACATAAACAATATGTGATTCTTTGTGACTGGCTTGTTTCACTGAGCAGAATGTTTTCAAGGTTCATCCATATTATCACATATATCAATACTTCCTTCCTTTTTATGGCTGAATAATATTCCATTCTATAGATAAACCACAATTTGTTTATCTATTCATCAGTTGATGGTCATTTAGGTTATTTGTACTTTTTGACTGTTATGAATTAATGCTGTGTACAAGTTTTTGTCTGGATATATGTTTTCATTTTTCTTGTGTATATACCTGAGTGGAACTGCAGGATCATATGGTAACTGACTCCTTGTTTCACACTTTGAGAAACTGCCAGATTGTTTTCCACAATGGTGGTACCATTTTACATATCTACTCCAGTGTTTTGAGGGTTTGGTTTCTCCACATCCTCACCCATACTTTTGTTATTACCTTTTTTTCCCCCAGCCTTTCTGTTGGTTTGTGAAGTGGTATGTCATGGTGGTTTTTAATTGTTTCCATAATAACTAATGATGTTGAGTTTCACATGCTTAATGCTGTATGCATATCTTCTTTAGAGAAATTTTTATTCAGATCCTTTGCTCATTTTAAAATTAGGTTATTTGGTTTTTTATTATTGAGTTGTAAGAGTTATATGTTCTAGACACCAGATCCTTATGAGGTAAATGATTTGCAAGTATTTTTTCCCTTTCTGGACATTGTCTCTCTACTTTCTTAATAATGTTCAGACAAGATTTTAATGTTGATGAAGTTCAGTATATATCTGTTTTTTCCTTTATCACTCTGCTTTTGATTCTGTATCTGAGAAATCATTGCTTAACCCAAGATCATAAAGATATTCACCTGTTTTATTCTGTGAGTTTCATAGCTTTAGCTCTTGCACGCAGGTTTTGATCTGTTTTGAGTGAATTTTTGTGTGTGATATGAGGAAAGGGCCTAGCTTCATTCTTCTGTGTGTGAAGTTGTTAGAACACCGTTTGTTGAGATTATTCTTTTCTTGTTGAGTTACCTTGGCACCTTTTAGAAAATTATTCGACCATAAATGTGTGAGCTCATTTCTTGACTCTCAGTTCTGTTCCATTGGTCCTACATGTCAGGACCAGTATTTTGAAAGCTCTTGGGGTGTAACACATACATTCTGGGTGGTGAGCGTTTGGACAGTTTGGTTGGGAGGCAGCACAACGCAAGGTTGCTGAAGTACTTCATGAGAGATGTGCAGAGCATCTGTTGTTAACTAAACCAGTGTTTCCCAAGTCGGGCTGGCAAGAGTCACCAGGGACGGGGAGTTACCCGGGAGACAAGGCCTGGGAAAGGGTGGGGAGGGGACCTGTGGCCTGTAATTCTGGGCTCTCCGACCTGGACGTTTTCTCTTCACCAATTGCCAGGTGGTTGAAACCTCCAGCAAGCTGCTTGTTTAGTGAACTGTGGTCAGTCCTATGGTCACTGTGCTGGAGTGATGCAGGATGTGCTGGACCAGACCAGTGGAAGACTGTATACCTGAATGATGGTCCTTCCACAGAATTGTTTTTCTCACAGCATTCTTGGGGGGAAGCCATCACTCTGTCTTAAGGAAGATGACAAGAGAGAGAGCTCCTTGGAACTCCTGTCCATGTTTATTGTGAGCACTTCCCTGGTCACCTTATTTATTGCCTTCTGCCATATATGGGGCTTCCTTGGTGGCTCAGAGGGTAAAGAATCTCTCCACAACGGGTGAGACCTGGGTTTGATCCCTAGGTTGGGAAGGTCCCCTGGAGAAGGGAATAGCTACCCATTCCAGTATTCTTGCCAAGAGAATTCCATGGACAGAGGAGCCTGGCGGGCTACAGGCCATGAAGTTGCAAAAAGTCGGACACGATTGAGAGACTAACACTTTCAATTTTTCTGCCATATACACACAAATATTTTATACCTACATTTCCTTCTCATTTGCCTTGTTTATTTAAATTTCTGATTATGGAGGAAGTATATATAATTCAAGGACATTTGTGTTGTCTGCCCCACTAGCCTGAAAGCTTCATGAGAGAAGGGAGTTTTGGTTGATGGGAATATCTCCAACACCAAGGACAGTGCCTGGCACATACTAGGCACTCTGTAAATATTTGTTGAGTGAATGAAAGGCCTGTCAAGATCAAATAGTGGAGAGGGCAGCTTATCTCTTTCAGCATCAGTAGCAGTCACTCTGCTTAGTTTTAGCTTCATGATACTGTGAATCATCAAAGCATGTGTTTCTCTGTATGAACCACTTGAAGATTAATGCCATATTTATGTCCACTCTAATGTGCTTGTAGGACTAACCTCCAAACTTTTCATTTATTTACTGAATTTGTCTTGTGTGCATCTCTGTAAGCTATCTAAAATCACCTTTGAAATCTAGCAGGCTGTAAATAAACGCTATTTAATTGGCTTTGATGAGAATTTCTTAATTTTAATCTTTCCTCCTGATATTCTAGGTTGGCAGAGGAGAAGAATTTTTTTAAAATCAAATTCCTCTTTCATTCTTCCCTCCTTTTTTTCCCCTCCCTTTTTTTTAAATTTTAATTTTTATTTTTTAGGATAGAATTTTTGCGGCATTTGAAGAGCTTTTTCCAGATTATGTTTAAAATCGAAANCCTGATATTCTAGGTTGGCAGAGGAGAAGAATTTTTTTAAAATCAAATTCCTCTTTCATTCTTCCCTCCTTTTTTTCCCCTCCCTTTTTTTTAAATTTTAATTTTTATTTTTTAGGATAGAATTTTTGCGGCATTTGAAGAGCTTTTTCCAGATTATGTTTAAAATCGAAACCAAGCCATGTGGTGAAGAACTCAAGGGAGGGGATAAAGTGCTGATGACCTGTGTTGGCGTTGGCTTCTCCAACCTTAGCAAGACCCTCAAGTGACACTGTCAGAAGATGAAAGGCCCAAAGGCTTCTAGACAATGCAGAAGCTGCCAAGGAACCAAAGGGACCAGATTCTTCCAGGACTTTCCTAACTTTCTGTTTGAAAACAATCAGGATATCCAAACAAAAGACGTCTCTCTACCTTGTGGTTTTCAGCCATTTCTCCGGGGCAGACATTCCTCAGGAGGCCCAGTCACAACGGGAGCTCCCTCGGCTTACCTGGATGAAGAGTGTGCCTTTGGGACACAGTTGTACTGCTGCAGCATCACAGCTGCGTTTTAGCACTGCTTCCTGAGCCCACATCCTCAGGCTTCTGCCGTGTGGCTATCTTCCAGACCTTTGGAGTTTCTCACAGTTCCTTCTGCAAGGACTGACCCCCCTGAATCTTGGTTTCTGTGTAGGGATTAAATGAGATACTATGAGTGGAACCCCTTTATGAATAATGTCATGTCATGCAAATGTCAGAAATTGGTGTGTTAGACTATTTTATCCTTTGTCTTCTGAATGGACTGCTATCTTGGAGATATACTGCTCCCCATCTGGTTCATTGTATGTGGATTTTTGGGGAATGAATGACTAGGGAGTGCAAGGGTCCAACGAAAGTTATTGGATGTTTTCCATATCTCGGGTGTGCTATGCATGTTCTCATTTTATTCTCCCAATAGCCCAGTGATGTAGATTTTATTATCCCCACAAGAGAAATTAAAAAAGGATATTTTGTGCCTTTTGAAACTTGATAATATAGTGATATTAGCTCTCCTGATTTCAAGATCTAAGTATCAGAGTCTGGAATTTTATGCTGCTTGCAAGCTAGTAAGGTAGATTATTACTGTTTCATGGATGCTAGCAGAAAACATGAAAATCTCATGTCATAGACAAAAAGCTTTATTACTCAGAGCACAAGAAGCAGCATGAGCTTCACTGGTTTCTTTCTCCAAGTCCCACAAGATGTGGAGGGTCTGCAGGTATGCCATGCACAGCAGTGGTCTGCATCACAGGCAACGAACATGCACATGTGGGAATTCCACCTCTTACAAGCCTGCTCTTTGTTCCAGATGGGGACATTACTTCACCCCTCAAGACTGCTTGGTGTGAACATATGATAAGAAAGGGCCAGGATAAAAGCCTCCCCAGCAGGAATGTGCAAGAACACTCAGGACTTGTGGCAATTGTACCTGCTGCTAGTAGAGGCTACATGTGGTGTGTGTAGGGGGTTCAGAGTTATTGGTTGTAGGGGAAATACCTGCTATTTCCATTAGGATTCCAAATGATATTGTCTACCAGGATGGACTTTTGAAGTAAGGCATGGTCTTTACCTCCCCAGGTCGCTCAGTACCCTTTTCTTTTTTCAGTAAAAGGGGTCCAGAGGAAGTTTGTGCTCTTGTGTCTGAGGTGTGGGAGGATGTGGAGTGGGGAGCTAACATTGACAGATCAGGCCATTTTGAACTGTGGTTGTCTACTTACTGAGAGCTCTACATGCTGTATTAGATTTCTGTTGCTGCATAACCAGTTACCACAAACTTAGTAGCTTAAAGTAGTACCATTTATCATCCACAATTCTATAGAGGTCCTGGTCTGCTTGCTTGGATTCTCTGGTTATGGCTTCGCAGGGCTAATGTCAAGGTGCTGGGCTCTGGGCAGGAATACATTTCCAACCACATTTGGATTGTTGGCAGAATTGTTGGACTGGAGTTCCTGTTTCTGGCTGGCTGTCAGCTGCGGGCAACTCTCAGCTTGTACGTAGAGGCTGCCTGCATTCCTTATAACTTGACTCCCTCCATCTTCAAGCCAGAGACGATGTATTGAATCCTTCTCATGCTTTGAATCTGACTTCTTGTGATACCTTATATTAAGGTCATCTGGTCACAGCAGTACCTAGGTTAGTGTTTGAATAGCCGGGGCCAGGACTCTTGGACATCTGAAAATTCTGCCTACCACACATCAGTTCAGTTCAGTTCAGTTATGTCCGACTTTTTGCGACCCCATGGACTGCAGCATGCCAGGCTTCCCTGTCTACCACCAACTCCCAGAGCTTACTCAAACTCATGTCCATTGAGTTAAGTGATGCCATCCAACCATCTCATCCTCTTTTATCCCCTTCTCCTGCCTTCAGTCTTTCCCAGCATCAGGGTCTTTTCCAATGAGTTAGTTCTTCACATCAGGTGGCCAAAGTATTGGAGCTTCAGCTTCAGCATCAGTCCTTCCAATGAATATTCAGTACCGATTTCCTTTCGGATGGACTGGTTGGCTCTCCTTGTAGTCCAAAGGACTCTCAAGAGTCTTCTCCAACACCGAAGTTCAAAAACATCAATTATTTGGTACTCAGCTTTCTTTATAGTCCAACTCTCACATCCATACATGACTACTGGAAAAACCATAGCTTTGACTAGACGGACCTTTGTTGGCAAAGTAATTTTATTTAATGCTGCTGACGTTCGAACCCAGATCCACCCACGCTCAGATATAGAACTAGGGAACCACATGGCTTTGGCTGTGTCCAGCAGGAACTTTCTGTCCCTTGGGACAAGATTGGGAAATGGGTCCTGTTGGTTAATTTAGGGTGACATGTAGACACTGGGCGGATCATTACAGCCAGTATAATGGACGTGAGCCTCCATCTGGTGTCAACATAAAAGTATCTGATGGTCTCCAGCCCTCTGACTGGTACAGCTGCTTCTGGAGTGGTAGTGGTAATGCTGTAGGCAATAGGAAGACACATTTAATATTAATATTTACTTAAGTGGCCTGCTGTCAGCTCCTTCTCAGGTGCCCAACAGAAGCAACAGGTCTCCTTGGGCGGAGGTTACTGGTACTTCTTAGTGACATTCTGCTCCTGCAGTCTCTGCCTTGTTCTTAGCTTAGTTCCTGGTTGGTGCAGCTACCACTAGTATAGTTTGATGGGAGATTCCAGCACTTTGAGCTTGGCTGTCTATCTTGACCCCTTTACTTCTCTCTGTTGACAGAGACAGACCAGTCTGAATTCAATAAGAAGTAATTTTTTTTTTTTTAAGACATATACACATGTTTTAGGGATCATGACATAATCATGGCCTTGCCTTCCTGTCATGTTCCAAGCCCTGCTTCTGTCTTCTACCATCCTTCTCTGTTACATTCTGGGTGGACACCAGCCAGCCTCCTTCCATCATGATTATTTACCATATTCAACAAGACAGTTGATAAGGATGGGGGGGAAGCTAGGGTGTTGCAACATGACATGCGGATGGGGAAACAGCAGGAGGAGGCACTGCTGAAATCCAGATTGCCCTCAGAGGGCAGCGGAACCTTGTGGTTTGTTTGTTTGTCTTTATCTTTTCTGATAAAAAGTGGTGAAGGACATCATTGATTACAGACCCAACCAAAAAGCCCCCAAACTTGGGTTGCACTGTGGTGCCTGTCCTCTCATAGTCACTCTACAATGAAAAATGGTGAAGTAGCCATCCCACTGGGTCTTTCCTGGGCTGACGGTTAGTTTCGAGGTGGCCAAGTGGAAGAGATAAGGGTATGAAAAGGCAGGGAAGAAAGGAGACGATCGGAGCAGAGGAGGCCTAAGGAGGTGGACAAAATTGTAGGTAGATGGAGAAAAGGAAACCCCAGGGAACTAAGGGATTACTTTAATTTTGGCTGTGCCTGAGGTGGGGGTGGGATTCAACTGGTGAGGTGAGGGGGCCAAAGCAGGGTGCAGAGTGGATTTTTCCATGGTATTGGTTATGGTGGGCGGATTAGAGTGTGGGGCCTCATTGACTTTACATGTTGGTGCTTTTTTGGAGACGTGCTGGTGGGTGACTGTAACAGTCTGTGATGGATGGAAAAGCAGCATCACAGGCCTTGTACCCAGCCTGGTCCTCTGCTGTTCTCATCTGACTCCAGAGTGAAGGAGAAGTAACTTGCACTCGATCAGAGTTTCCATGTTTAGACCACCCTGGCCTGTTCTTTAGAAGTGACCAATAGTTAAGAGGAATGTCAATAGGCAAGCATAGTTTTTCTGTACTGTGGTTGACTAGGTCTGTGAAGACATTTGAGTGGGATAATTTATCAGTGTTTGGCCTTTTACAGAGGCCAAGCCACTTCACTCCTTTACTCAAGCAAATAGGGCTGTCGTATTTGTCAGGAGCAGCCTAGGTCCAGGATTCCTCTAATCCATGTCTTTCACTTGGCCCTTAATAGTTAGTTAGATAGCCTGACTCCATGCCCGAGGCACTGGCCTTTGGTCAGCATCTGTAGATGGACTGGGGCAGAGCTTTTGGCACATGGTCCACTTCCTGTCTTTCTGGTTCTTCTGATACTGGTGGTTCTAGATGTGGATCCTGCTCTGCTGACGCCCTTGTGTTGTCTACAGGGGAGGGGATGCTGATCTTGGAGGTAAGAGGCCCAGCTTGCTTTCTGGCCCATTTCAGCTACTGACCAGCAATTATGGCATAAATATCTCACTTCCACACACTTGGATTGCTTTTGGGAAATCAGGGTGGATGTATGAGGCCTTGTACCCAGCCTAGACCTCTGCTCTTCCTCACCTGACTCCAGAGTAAGGGAGAAGTAATTTGCACTCCGTCAGAGTTTCCTGGTTTGGGTGCCCCCAAAACCAGAAAGATGACCTTTATTGCCTCCTCCATGCCACTCCCATCCTTATAACATTGAGATGTTTCTCTGAAATCTCTTAGACACTCTTTATTACTGTGTTTTTCCCCCCATTCCCAACCCTCTTAAAGAGCTTTACATATAAAAATTTCAATTTGATTAGTTTGCTAATAATTTCTACTGTGATATGTGAAATGTATTCAAACTGATGAAGGTAGGTGAATTTCTAGAAATCAGAGACTGACTTAAATGAACTAGCCCAACAATGACGCATTTGGCAGCTTCATATGTCTACTCTCTGAATACCCTGTCACCACACGGTCCTGAGGGTGGTGGACCTGCTGTTGGACTCACCAGTGGCCATTTGGGTAACTGGTCTCTTCTTGGGAGTGAATGCTGCTCCAAAGGAAGAGGAATGTTCGAGGCAGGCGCCTATTCCTGGTGCATCTTGGATGGTAGGACTCCTGAAGATATCACTTTAGTCTTTAAGGGAAGATATTGGTGGGACCATATATTTTGAAATGGTGCCTAGCTTGGAGGGGTGTCGCTTGGAGGGGTCCAATTTCAGGTCATGACAACTGACCTCACATTGTTTTAAATGCTGGGTACACTTGGCTCCCCATACTTCTCAAATTCTCCTCTCTCTGTCAATGCTCTGTTTCCACCTCTCTGCTGTTTTAGCTGTTAGGTAGTTAAAGGCGTTGTGCCTAATATCTGTAAGCTTTGAAGAACCAATGGAAAGGCTTACCAAAAAAAAAAATACTGGCTTCAAGTTAGGCAAAGAAAAAGAGCAAAAATAAATATCTACAAAATGAAACATTTTCAAATTTAAAATGTTGAAAACAATATAAATGAGTTTGTTTCTTCACACGTATTTCCAAGCACATGCAGTAATTGAAGGAATTATTGCTAGTCATATATTAAATGGGTTGCTGGTCAGCCAGGCAGTTTAAAAAGCAAAATTATAAGGAGCCTTTCAGAAATTTGCCACGTGGCTGTATTTTAACATTTGTGGTTTGGTGACACTGTCATAAGAGGCCTAGAAAATAAAACCATGTAAGTCCTCCCTCCTCACTGAGCCACCTCTGTAACGTTAAAGCCTCAGCATCTCCGGAGGGACTTCCCCGGCTATAGGTTCTCATACACTCCTGGGTGCCTTCTTTACGCTTCACACCCTCAGTTATTGCTTAATTTTCTGTGTTAACCTGTTTTGATGTGAAGCGTGTTGATCTTTTACAATTTGGTGTGGCTGTGGTTTTGAAGTGTTTTTTTAAAAGACTTTAAAAAAAAAAAGATGAATTCAGTCATTTGTGAGGAAAGCTTTTGGCTTCTTGAGTTTCAGTAGGGCACTGTGGAAGTAACAGGCATAGAAATGAGACTGTGTTTGCATATTATTAAATAGCTGAGTCTGTAGCCACATGGCATCGGGTAGATCCTCTACCTCATCTGTAAAATGGAAAATAGCTGCTGTCCACCCTGGTACTGACAGGACTTATTAAATGGTTATGTGTTAAATGCTTAGGATTCCTTTTAGCTGTTAAACCCCTGATGAGGATTCAAAGCAGTCTTTTACCTAACAGGTTCATGTCTCCATGGGTCATAGGGTTTATTTTTATATCTGATACTTGGATGGACTCAGCCAGAAGACCAGAGGCAAGATGTGGCACCTGTAATGGGTTGGGGTCACACTGCCCCATGACATGTTATAGAGTTAAAAAGAGTGCCTACAGGCATCTCTGTGAAGTTTGCCATGTTCTAGCAGGACCCACTTGTCAGGGTGAAGTGAGCAGGCAGGCTTCCTCAGGGCTCAGCACTGCTCAGCTACTGTGTGCACCAAACCAAATGAAGAGCTCCCGTGTCATCATGCCAGAGCATTACCTAAAGCTACCATGTGAGCAACTGTATGTCATCAGAACTCAGCTCTCTTCCTTCTCCCAGCATTGCTTTCAGTGTTTCTTCTCCATCAGGCGTTCTCTTTAACGTTCAGTTTTTAGCAACCTTGTGGTCAGAGAGATTCTACCCATTATTAAAAAAAAAATCCTCCAGAATTATGTCTCCCTCTGGTTGACTCCAAAATGACCAGATCTGGGTCCTGTTCTCATCCCTGGAGTGGTAGGGATGTCAGCCTCAACCAAACTGTGTAGATTGAAAGGAATGGGTAAAGTGGTTCCTGAAGGAAAATCTGAATGCTTTTACAAAAAGAAAAGACACTGGGAAGGCAAAAATAACAGTTGTCTACTATAGACTGCATTACCTAGTTCCCTGAATACTCTTGGGAGAACATCCTACATAACTACTTGCCCACTGTCATCTTTCACCATCCAAAATCTTCCAGGATCATGGTATAGGATAGGGTGTACAGAGCTTCCCTGGTGGTCCAGTGGTTAAGAATCTGCCTGCCAATGCAGGAGTCACAAGTTTGATTCCTGGTCCGGGAAGATTCCACGTCCCATGGGGCAGCTAAGCCCATGCTTCACAACTGCTGAGCCCATGCACCCTAGAGCCTATGCTCTGCAACAGGAGAAGCCACCGCAGTGAGAAGCCCATGCATTACAACTAGAGACAGCCCTCACACAGCAACGAAGACCCAGCACAGCCATAAATAAATAAAAAGAATTGAGTGGGCAAGAATGAATTCCGTTCAACACATGTTTCCTGACAAAAGGCAAGACTTTTGTACCTGGAAGGCCAAAGTTAATATGGACACTGGGCAAAAGTTTATCGTTTTAGCTAGTGGTATTCTTGGGCTGGGAGGAGGAGTATACCAGGGTGGTAACACAGAGGGAGGAGAACCGGCAGTGGGAACACCATGTGGGCTGTGGACAGGAGGATGGGTAGGAGGCCAGCTTGAAGAAAGGAGGACATGCAATATCTGTTGGTGCTTTCCATCATGGTTCTGTCTTTTTCCACCTCTGGAAAGACAAACTCAGAAGTGTGGAGGAAGATCAGGGCTTTTTTCCATTGCCAGAATACAAGAATTAAAATGATAATGACAGTGACATAAAAAGCTATCCCTAGAAGAGCACTGAAGACATATATAAGTGATGACAGGAATTAGGATGGGGACATGATGGGTATTCTTCTTATTTCCAAATAACTTGCACTATTTTGTTTTTATAGTTATATACCTGTTTCTGTGTGTGTACATGTTTACTTATATGAAGAATCTCAGGTGCAACTCCCATTATTTTTCATCAGTTGCAAGGCAAATAAAAGATTAAGCATCCTCTTTGTCCTACTCCTCTGCACCTTCCCTTAAAACACTCACACACACACACACACAAGCAACTTACTTATGATGTGGTTGGGGCCTGTGGAAGGACGTGCCACAGATGGAGAAGAATCCAAGGCCTGCTCATGATACTGCATAAGTGGCTTACCTCTACCCTTGCCTGTCTTCAGGATTCTGGGTCAGAGCACTGTTTCACCTCTTAATTAGATTACGTTAGGTCTGCTGTAATGTTTCCCAGAGCGTGTTCTCTTGTACACTAGCATCATAGAATGCTTTCCCTGAAAAAGTGAAAAGAAAGTGTTAGTCGCTCAGTCGTGTCCCACTCTTTGTGATCCCATGGACTGTAGGCTGCCTGGCTCCTCTGGGTGAGAATACTGGAGTGGGTTGCTATTCCCTTCTCTAGAGGCTCTTAGTGATCCAGGGATCAAAGCTGGGTGTCCCACACTGCAGGCAAATTCTTTACTGTCTGAGCCACCAGGGGAGCCCTTTTCCCTGAAAAGCCAACTTAATATAGGTGTAGACGGTGTTGCAGTCTCTAGTGCAGGTTTGGAGGCCACAATGTGTACTAACATAGCAGAAGCTCTGAGGAGTCCTGTAGCTGAAACTGTCTTTGTTTTACTTACTGCTTTTCAAACTGACTTGGACATTGAACTTTCCATACCTCCACCCACAAAAAAGTATTGCATGTAGTGCTTTTATTCTGCAAATCATATTTGACAAGTACTTGGTCTAGTAGGATTTTTTTTTTAGGAAAGATAAACTCTGCCATTTGTGATTGGAATATTTGTAAGAAGTCAAGCAGTTGGAATAATAAGTCAAGCGGTTAGAATCTAGTGACTAACCCTTGCCCCCATCTTACAGCATTGACACCCACACCCATGAGCTTCAGATTATGGGCCCCACCTAGTCCTATACCATCTTACCTTCTTATCTGGGCTTCTGGGAATTACAAGGGTCAGAAATGGGACTAGGCTGGGATTTTGTGTGTGTGTGTGTGTTGTGATAAACTACAATGTCCCTAATCTCTTGAGGGGGCTTCCCAAGTAGCTCAGTGGTAAAAAAGCCATCTGCCAACGCAGGAGATGTGGATTCGACCCCTGGGTCGGAAAGATCCCCTGGAAGACAAAATGGCAACCTACTCTAGTATACTTCCCTGGAAAATCCCATGGATAGAGTAGCCTGGTGGGCTACAGTTTATGGGGGTCACAAAGAGTCAGACATGACTTAGCAACTGAGTACAATCTCTTTAAGAGTCACATTGACTGATCTTTCCTTCTCGGCTCAGAACCTTAACATGGCAGTGGAACCCACCTGAGCTCTCAACGGGAGGGGATCAGAAGATGTTCTACTGACTTGGGAGCCCAGGGAGAGTGCCAGAACCCTGTGAGGGCTTAGCCCAAATCTTGGTAATAGGTCAAGGAGAAACCCTCGGGGAAGGAGCACCATAAAATGATTTGCCATATTTTTATATTTCAAGCCATATTCAAGCCTGAGCCCCCAAACACCTGGATTTTCAGAACTCTGACCTGGGCACCACTTGCCAGCAGCTATCACCAAGATGTGAAGACTGGGCCCTCAAGGCAGTGGGTCTGGGAATGTGGAGAGGCCTTGGGCTTTTTAAACGGGCATTTTAGAAGATGCTGGTTTAGTTGTTAAGTTGTGTCTGACTCTTATGACTCAAGGACTGTGGCCCACCAGGTTTCTCTGTCCATGAGGTTTCCCAGGCAAAAATACTGGAGTGGGTTGCCATTTGAATTGCACTTGCAACAGGCCCCTACTGGCCCTGCTCCTCTGTTAATAAGCTGTCCAGAAAAGAGCCTGCCTGGATACTCTTTGAGTGTCTTCTTCAAAATGTACAACTTAAGTAGGAGCTTGCTTTTTTTTTTCTCCAGCATGTTATGTTTTTTTATTTCAAGGAAGGTAAAAATGCAACTGAAACACAGAAAAAGATTTGTGTAGTGTACAGAGAAGGTGCTGTGACTGATAAAACGTGTCAAAAGTGGTTTGTGAAGTTTTGTGCTGGTGATTTCTCACTGGACAATGCTCCATGGCCGGGTAGACCAGTTGAAGTTGATAGTGATCAAATAGAGACATTAACTGAGAAAAATCTGTGATATCCTAGTGGATGCTTTTTAAAGCTGTTGATGCTGTACATCAAGGAAAAGCTTTTGCATCTCTTATCAACCTGAGTGGGTACTAATTGCACTTCTGAGTTTTGTCTTCTGGGAGTTCAGAAGGTGAAATAGCAAAGGTTTAATCAGAGTCCTGATGTGACCCAGGTTAGGAAATAACAAAACAAACTTGAACTCCTGTTCACCCACCTGAGAGGAAGAAAAATACAAAAGGAAGTGGAAAACAACCAAACCTCAGATGGAGGGAGCAAGTGGCAAGTGCCCTTCTTAAGAATACCAAGAAAACAGCATTGGCATGGAAACCAGACAGTGGAGGGGGGAGCTGCCAGGGGAACAGCAAGGAGTCAGTCCCGCAGGGACTGTCCTGGTTGTCTCATCTGTTTGCCCCTGACCTGAGGGGACTGAACACCAAGCATCTCATTTGATTTGTATGTTCTTGTGTGACTCCAAGTGTTAGGAATTGCCACTGTTATGACTAATATACAGATTCACTTTAAAGTAGCACTGAATTCGTAATTCATAAATTATTTTCTCAGTGAACAGGCTCCTTTATGTGGAAAGAGGCCTGTGAAAATTTTAGATGTTTAAAAGAGGTTTTCATGCTTTCTTAAAAAGATTATAATGACTGTTATATTGAATGCAATTATTTTCTCCCCAGTGGTAGTCTCCTGTTGGTTACCCATCAGGAATGTTTGAATTTTTTGGCACAAATCTTGACTGTCTGCTTGTGTCTGGGGAAGGGATAGGTTAGGAGAGAGAAGCAATGGGAATATAATAAAGAGTGGCCCTTAGCAAACTGTGGATGCTGTGTGCCATTACCACCATCCTCCTTCCAGCCCGCCCACCCTGCTACTAGGCAACAGTTAGCACAGGACCTTTAGTGGTCCTGCTCAGCCATTTGTTGTCTCCTCAGTGGCTCCCCCCCGCCCTGCCCCCCAAACAGCCGTCAGTGAGTGACCATTAATGATCCTGCTCAGTCATTGGTCGGTGCCACAGTGGGCCCCTCCCACAAGCGACCAACTGTCCAGGAGCAACCTTAGTGAGGCCATTCAGCCAACCTTCAGTGGAGTGGTGGTCGTCAGGCAGAGGGTAAGGTAAGAGATGGATCCTGGCCTTCTTCCCCGTGGCCCTCCAGCTTACCTGGCTTCAGGCCAGTAAGTGAGTGGAGGGGCCCAGAGAACAGGCTGGGGGCTGTGTCCTAGAGGGCTCTAGAGCTCTCGCCAAAGCCACCGGCTGGCTGGACCCAGACCTTGAGGCTACCGTGAACCTCTCCTCTGCCCCCACCCCTGTGACCTAATGGCAGCAGCCATATGCCTAGAATGTCATCTGCGGGACCTACCTGGCCCCCCGCCATCTGGATGGCCTGAGCAGCTGAAGGCGAGAGGTCCTGGGCACCTGGCTCCCTCAGGGATGACAGCTGAGCAGGGTCTAGGGTCCTGGTTCTGAAGGAACCATCAACTGAGAGCTTTTCAGCCAGGACCTGGAACTCACAGGGGAAAAGTTGAGTCTTGAGACCTCATCATTTCTTGTCAGAATGGAGAGTAACATTTGTTTGGTGGATATTTATAGGAACATTGTTATCTAACCATAACCTGACCTCAGTAACAAAGGCTCTGACACCAAGAAGTCTGCAACAACTAACCCTACTCCTTCACTTTTCCTAGAAAAGGACTTTGCTGAGAGCTTTTGTTGGGGGGTGGGGGGAGATTTGGGAGTTTTAAGGCATGAGCACCATCGCCTTGCACACCCCTGCAATAAACTTTTCTCTGTTCCAAACTCCCACGTTTTGGTATTGTTTGGCCTCACTGTACATTGGACACATAAACTTACTTTCTGGTAACAGGAAGACTGGAGATCATATCAGTTATTGAGCTGTTCTCAATCATCATTCAAAGAGATGACATTCCATTTGGCATCATGATCTGCTGATACTAAAATGTGTCCCAGCTCAGCCTTCTTGCTTTGAGATAAAGTGCTGTGTTCTTCCCTCAGGATGTTTTCTTCAGTAATGTAGCAGCCTTGCAAGGTGGTAAGTGTTCAGATTTCCCTGACTCACAACTCCTACTCCTTTATGGATTTCAGAACACTTCCAGGAACATTATCTCCTTTCATCCTCACAGGCACATATGTTTAGGCTTAGAGAAGCTGTGAGACTAAATCAAGTTTACACAGTTAGTGGAGAAACTGGAAATGAACACAAAGCGTTTGGTTCCATTAGATCTGAACCATGGTATACATGTGTCTCAAGCCGGTCATACCTCTGTGTGCTTTCAAATGGGTATTCTTAAGTATTTGTCCAGTACATAGAGTTGAAGAAATAACAGAAGTAATTCCTGTGAGGAAAGGGTAGAAAAGGAGAATGCTAGAGGTAACATCCCAGCTTTTGCACATCTCAGCAAAACAAAAGCTCTGCTTTATCATCTTTGTTGCTCAAGCATTCCTCTTGGAAGTTGTGTTAGTCAGGATTTTGTGTGTGTGTGTGTAAGTGTAACTAAGTGAAAAAAAATAGGCTTTAGGGATAAGCTACCCACTCCAGTATTCTTGGGCTTCCCTTGTGGCTCAGCTGGTAAAGAATCCACCTGCAATATGGGAGACCTGGGTTCAATCCCTGTGTTGGGAAGATCCCCTGGAGAAGGAAAAATCTACCCACTCCAGTATTTTGGCCTGGAGAATTCCATGGATTGTATAGTCCATGGGTTCGCAACTCGAGTCAGACATGACTGAGTGACTTTCACTTTCACTTTCCACCTGAATACCTGGCAGCTTATCAATATATTCCTTTAAACCAGACTCAGGATGCTCCCTGAGCAGAGTGCTAATTAATACCATTTTCTCTGTTCCATTCCATTACAGATTAGTTTCCTGGGCATCTTAACAACTGGCTCCCTCTCATTCCACCTCTGTCTTTACCAGGTGAGGTAGCTGGAGAGCAGAGGGACTCATCCAGGACAGGGCGGAGTTCAGATCAGATCCTGGCCCTAGACCTTTGGCTGCTAGACCAGCAGTTACCACTGACTTTGTCACTTGAGCAGTCCAGCAGGACAGCCTCTCTTGTCCCACAGCCGACCTGGGTTCTGCTAGGACCTGAGATTGGTATAGGTTGTAGCTGCACTGAGAGATCTATAGACTTAGAAATTAAGCCATCCTGGCCTGAGATAATCACAGCCTACTTAAGGCTCTGCAGAGGGTGGTGGGTCACTGTGCTTACTGCAGGGTATTCTTCCTGTTATTCAAAGTATGTGCATTGATTTAGTTTATTAAAAGAGCATGCTTGAGTCCCCAGAAAGAAACCATGTGGGAAGAAATATACTAAGTATCACTGGGAGCAGCCTAGGCTTGTGAGACTGGGGAGGGGACTTGCATTTTTTGCTTTATCTTTTTAAGTGATTTGGAAGCAGACACCAAGCCATAGTAGGATATCTGGGGGAATCACTTTTGTCCCTGAACACAGGGTTGAAGAAAACTGGGAGAATACCACTGATGGGGAACTGGGTGAGATCTGGGGATTGGAGAGACAATTAAGGACCCAAACGTGAGTCTGCTACAGACCCAGAAAAGCGAAGGTGTTCCAAGGATAAGAACTTTCTCTTGCAGTGACACTGACCCTGCTAGGCTATGTACTTGGTCCACTGGACCTGACAGTGTCAAGACCCTATTGGCTGGTGAGCAATGGTGATCATGGTCCAGCCAGCCTAGCCTCTTCACTTCTGATAAATTTACAAAGAAGAGAAAGATAATTGTTGAACCAGCCTCACCTAGATTTTGACCTAAAATGGACTTGTCCAGCTTCTTGGTAAGGCTTTACTCTACATGATTCGCTCCTGTCATCAAATGTGTCCTGAAATGGTAAAGATTTGCCATTGCTGAGGATATCCAGCATTATAAAACATGAATCTGTGTAAATCCTATAGGCAGCAGAGGGTGTCCTAAGTATTACACAGGACTTCTCTGGGGAAATAAGTTCTCACTTCCCAGGTGATTACTTTGGGGAGATCCTGTTCCTTTGCACAAGTAGGGGAGCACTTCGCACCGTTGCCTGAGAAAGGCTGGTGGCCCCAGCTGTCCCGGAGCTTTCCTTCTTACTCTTCTCTCCCTCCGCTGACTGCTTCTCAGAAGGGGCCTGGGTCTGTCTCTACCTTTACTCTGTCTTTCTTCTCTTGTGCCAGGTGAAATCTGCAGATACTAGAGTGGCAGTGGCCATGGATGTATCCTTTTGAAGCAATAGTACATCTAAGGGTGGTGGTAGTTCTGGACCACTGAATTTTTTTTTGTATTACAAGAAAGGAAGAAATGGTAAAGTTGGATAAAATTGAGTCATTTTTTCCCCTTCCTGTTTTTTCTGATCAACCATAAGCAAACACTTTAGGAAACCACAGAAGAGATGTACCTGGAATAAGATGAAACTTTAAACGCCCATGGAGGAGGCGAGGTGGAGGTGGGGGGGTGGGGTGTGGTCAGAGGCCCAGATGGGTGGGCACAAAAGCTTGAAAGCAAGCTAGGGCTGGGACAGCTGGCCAAATCTCTACCGTGCCTCCACTGGGGTCTTTTGATTAAATTTTCACAGGCCTACAGCAGTGCTGGTACATGGCATGGTGGAGTGGGTTATCTTTAAAGATAATTCTACCTTCAGAGTTTGGTACACTTAAAACAACTGGTGGGCAGCTGATGTACAGCACCGGGAGCTCAGCTGTCATGACCTAGAGAGGTGGGATGGAAGCTGGGAGGAGGGGAGGTTCATGAGGGAGGGGACCGATCTATGCTTATAGCTGATTCATGTTGTACAGCAGAAACGAACACAAAACTGTGAAGCAATTATACTCCAATTAAGAAAGAAAAAAGATTTGACACACTTTCAAGTGGTATATCCAAGACTGAAAGCAATACCAAAAAAAAAAAATCCCAGACCCAGGATTTTATTTCTCCTTCCCAAGACAGTCTCCACTGAAGAGCCATCTTTGGTGACTGTGGAGACACCAGCCTTCCTCAAGCTGAAGAACTTGGTGTGATGTGATCCTCTCCCACAGCATCCTCATCCCTATAGCCAGGTGCCCAGAGATTTCTACAAGCTGAGGCCTCAGGTTGGGCTCACAGGTGAGTGAGGGAAGAGCTGGGACTGGACAGGCCCTGAGGCATGGGCGGGCTTGGGTTGGGGTGAGGGAAGCAGAGAAGAGGCTGCTGGTCCCTGACAGTGCCTAGGGGAGACTTGCATTGTGCAGAGAAGCTTGACCTGGATTCACTTACTTCCTGTGGGATCTTGATCACCAAAACCATCTGGACTGAAGGACAAGAACAGCTTGATCTACTCCTTAGAGCTGACCTCATTTGAACACTAAATCAATAAATGATGATTTAATGGAGCTGTTGCTGGGAATCAAGTATCTGACATCTCAAAAAGATTTTTTTTTCTAAAGCCACAACTTGTTCCTTGTTGCCCTTTGGGTTATTCTCTTTCAGTGGGAAAGTGGCTTCCCACTGTCTTCCCTCCATGCTCCCACCCTTGAGGAGGCTTGAAAACATACTGAACAGCTGCTCCCACAATTATCTGGAAGGGCCCATAGTGTCCAGGTCAGGAGATTCTCCCAACATGTAGAATAAGGAGTTAAAGAATGAAACAGGAGATTATGATCTTTTCAGAAGAAAATCTCTAGAGGAGAAATATCCGAGTAACAAATGCCAGTTCATATTCTGAATATCTCCCCATGTTCTCCAGGATGGTTACCAGACAAACTGCCCAGACAAAGGCTGGGAATGGGGCCTTGGGTGCCAGCTGTTGGGTGCCTGGTATGCTCCCCACTCTGCCAAGGCACATGGTTCTCATTGTCTGTTTTCCCACCTTGCAGCCAGTCTGTGAATGCCCTCTTCTTCAAATACTTGAACCTCTTGGAAACTGGACTCTGAACCCAATTCCACTGGAGTTTAGTCTAAGCTACCCTATCAGAATTTCCATCTAGGCTTTCAGTTATTTTTAGAGAAGAACTGTGAGAGGGGAGTAGTGGAATAGGAAGGTGGTCTAAGGACAGTTATTCTGTTGCTGTTCAGTAGCTAAGTCATGTCTGACTCATTGCGACCTCATGGACTGCAGCATGCGAGGCTCCTCTGTCCTCCACTGACTTCTGGAGTTTGCTTAAATTCATATACATTGAGTCAGTAATGCTCTCTAACCATCTCATTCTCCTTTTGCCTTCAGACTTTCCCAATATCAGCATCTTTTCCAGTGAGTCTACTCTTTGCATCAGGTGGTCAAATTATTGGAGCTTCAGCTTCAGCATCAGTCCTTCCAATGAATATTCAGGGTTGATTCCCTTTAGGATTGACTAACTTGATCTCCTTTCTGTCCAAGCAACTCTTAACAGTCTTCTCGAGCAACACAGTTTGAAGGCATCATTTCTTTGGCACTCAGCCTTCTTTATGGTCCAACTTTGATATCTGTACATAACTACTGGAAAAGCCATAGCTTTGACTATATGGACCTTTGTTGGCAAGGTGTTGTCTCCCTTTTAATATGCTATCTAGCTTTGTCATAGCTTTCCTTCCAAGGAGCAAGTGTCTTTTATTTTTATGACTGCAGTCATCATCTGCAGTGATTTTGGAACCCAAGGAAATAACATTTGTCACTGCTTCCACTTTTTCCCTTCTATTTGCCATGAAGTGATAGGACTGGATGCCATGATTCATTTTTTCAATGTTGAGTTTCAAATCAACTTTTTCACTCTCCTCTTTTACTCTCATCAAGAAGCTCTTTAGTTCCTCTTCACTTTCTGCCATTAGAGTAGAATCATCTGCATATCTGAAGTTGTTGATATTTCTCCTGGAAATCTTGCTTCTAGCTTGTGATTCATCCAGCCTGGCATTTTGCATGATGTACTCTGCATAGAAGTTAAATGAGAAGGGTGATAACATACAGCCTTGTCTTATTCCTTTCCCAATTTTGAACCACTCACTTGCTTCATGTCCGGTTCTAACTGTTGCTTCTTGGCCTACATACTGATTTCTCAGGAGACAGATAAGGTGGTCTGGTATTCCCGTCTCTTTAAGAATTTTCCACAGGTTTTTTTTTTTGTGTGTGTGATCCACACACTCAAGAGCTTTCACATCGTCAGTGAAGCAAAAGTAGATATTTTTCTGGAATTAACTTGCTTTCTCCATGATCCAGCAAATGTTGGCAATTTGATCTCTGGTTCCTCTGCCTTTTCTAAACCCAGCTTGTCCATCCGGAAGTTCTCGTTTCACATACTGCTGAATCTTGGCTTGAAGGAATTTGAGCATAACCTTGCTAGCATGTGAAATGAATGCAACATTGCCCTTCTTTGGGGTTGGAATGAAAGCTGACCTTTTCTAGTCCTATGGCCACTGCTGAGTTTTCCAGACTTGCTGACATAGTAAATGCAGCACTTTACCAGCATCATTTTTTAGGGTTTTAAATGGCTCAGCTAGAATTCCATTACCTCCACTAGCTTTGTTTGTAGTGATGCTTCCTAAGTCTCACTTGACTTCACACTGTAGGATGTCTGAATCTAGGTGACCATGCTGCTGCTGCTGCTGCTAAGTCGCTTCAGTTGTGTCCAAATCTGTGTGATTCCATAGATGGAAGCCCACCAGGCTCCCCCGTCCCTGGGATTCTCCGGGCAAGAACACTGGAGTGGGTTGCCATTTCCTTCTCCAATGCATGAAAATGAAAAGTGAAAGGGGAAGTCGCTTAGTCGTGTCCGACTCTTAGCAATCCCATGGACTGCAGCCTACCAGGCTCCTCTGTCCATGGGATTTTCTAGGCAAGAATGCTGGAGTGGGGTGCCATTGCCTTCTGCAAGCTTAGTGACCATACTATCATGGTTATCTGGGTGATTAAGACCTTTCTTGTATAGTTCTTCTTTGTATTCTTGTCACCTCTTTTTAATCTCTTCTGCTTCTATTAGTTACTTACCATTTTTTGTCCTTGATTGTGCCATCTTTGCATGAACTGTTCCCTTGATATATCTATTTTTCTTGAAGAGATCTCTAGTATTTCCCATTCTTTTGTTTTCCTCTGTTTTTTTGCATTGTTCATTTAAGAAGGCCTTCTTATCTCTTCTTGCTAGTCTGTGTAACTGTGCATTCATTTGGGTATATCTTTCCCTTCATTTCATTTAATTTCCCTTGCCTTTCATTTCTCTTCATTCCTCAGCTATTTATAAAGCCTCCTCAGACAACCACTTTACCTTCTTGCATTTCTTTATCTTTAGGATGGTTTTGATCACTGCCTCCTATACAGTGTTATGAACTTTTATCCACAGTTCTTTAGGCACTCTGTCTACCAGGTCTGATCCCTTGAATCTATTTGTCACCTCCACTGCATAATCATAAGGGATTTGATTTAGGTCATACTTGAATGGCCTAGTTATTTTCCTTACTTTCTTCAGTTTCAGCCTGAATTTTGCATTAATGAGCTCTTGATCTGAGCCACAGTCAGCTTCAGGTCTTCTTCTGGCTGACTGTATAGAGCTTCTTGATCTTTGGCTGCAAAGAACATAATCATAACTAGAATATGCAAGCAACCTAGATGTCCATTGACAGATGGATGGATTAAAAAGTTGTGGTACATATACACAATGGAATATTACTCAACCATAAAAAGGAATGACTTTGAGTCAGTTCTAATGAGGTGGATGAACCTAGAACCTATTATACAGAGTGAAGTAAGTCAGAAAGATAAATACTGTATTCTAACATATATATACACAGAATCTAGAAAAATGGTACTGAAGAATTTATTTACAGGGTAGCAGTGGAGAAACAGACATAGAGAATAGACTTATGGACATGGGGAGAGGGGAGGAGAGGGTGAGATGTATGGAAAGAGTAACATGGAAACTTACATTACCATATGTAAAATAGATAACCAATGGGAATTTGCTGTATGGCTCAGGAAACTCAAAGAGGGGCTCTGTATCAATATAGAGGGGTGGGATGGGGAGGGAGATGGGAGGGAAGTTCAAAAGGGAGGGGGATATATGTATACCTATGACTGATTCATGTTGAGGTTTGACAGATAACAACAAAATTCTATAAAACAATTATCCTTCAATAAAAATAAATTTATATATAAAAAAAGAACATAATCAATCTGATTTCAGTGTTGACTATCTGGTCAAGTCCATTGTAGAGTCTTCTCTTGTGTTGTTGGAAAAGGGTTTTTGCTGTGACTAGTGTGTTCTCTTGACAAAAATGTTAGCCTTTGCCTTGGTTTATTCTATATTCCAAGGTGAAACTTGCCTGTTGTTCCAGTTATCTCTTGACTTTCTACTTTTGCATTCCAATCCCCTATGATGAAAAGGACATCTTGTGTGTGTGTGTGTGTGTGTGTGTGTGTGTGTGTGTGTGTGTGTGTGTTAGTTCTACAAGGTGTTATAGATCTTCATAGAACTGGTCAATTTCAGCTTCAGCATCAGTGGTTGAGGCATAGACTTGGATTACTATGATGTTGAATTGTTTGCCTTGGAAACAAACCAAGATCATTCTGTCATTTTTGAGACTGCACCCAAGTACTGCTGATTTCAGACTCTTTTGTTGACTTTGAGAGCTACTCCATTTCTTCTAAGGGATTCTTGCCCACAGTAGTAGATGTAATAGTCATCTGAATTAAATTCACCCATTCTTGTCCATTTTAGTTCATTGATTCCTAAGACATTGAGGCTCATTCTTACCATCTCCTGCTTGGCCATGTCCAATTTACCTTGATTCATGGACCTTACATTCTGAGTTCCTGTGCAATGTTGTTCTTTACATCATTGGACTTTACTTTCACCACCAGACCCATCCACAGCTGTGTGTTATTCCCACTGTGGCCCAGCCACTTCATTCTTTTTGGAGCTGTTAGTAATTGCCTTCTGCTCTTCCCCAGTAGCATATTGGACACCTTCCAACCTCGGGGGGCTCATCTTCCGGTGTCGTATTTTTTTGCCTTTTCATACTGTTCATGGGGTTCTCTCGGCAAGAATACNACCTGCAACTGTCTTCCAAATAGCATGTCATAATTTGGGGACTGTGTTAGTTTCTAGAGCTGCCACAATCAGGTACCACAAATTAGGTGGCTTAAAATAACAGAAACTCATTTG